CAAGCTGCGGCAGCGGGGGTCGCGGAACTGCAGAGTGGGGGGAGGGGTCTCTTAGTTTGGCAAACGCCCTTCGTTAAGGCTTGCCTGGAGCCAGGGGTGTGGGTTGAGAACCCCATTTCTAGCCCCCGCATTGGCGCTTGACAGTCCCGTTTTCCCTCACTCCCTAGCGGCCTAGAAGACCCTTCCTGGCCACGTTGAACAAGTGGGAGAAGAGAATTGGGCAAGCGCCGCCCCAGGTGAGCCATCACTTCAGTGTCTGGGACCTACTCCAGACCCTGTAGACCCTTCCCACCACCAGGGGTCAAGGCCGCTGCCTTTGGGAGCTGAACACTTCTCTGGTTAGCAACACACAGCATTCTGATCCAGCCTAACGCCCCTTTTCTAGCATAGAAGCCAATTTCTATAAATGTGGAAGCTGGGTGGTGGATGCGCCCTGGTTGTGGGCCCCAGCTCTGCTGCCCATGAGTGAGCCAGGGCAGTGGACAACTTCACCCTCTGCCTGGCTTACTTCCAGTCCCTTAGCATCTGGATAACCAACCTAATTAAAGTTTGGAGCCAGATCCTTAAGAAAGGAAGGAAGCAAGGGAGAAAGAGAGAGAGAAAGAGAGAGAGAGGAGAGAGATCAGAGAGTCTTATCCTCAGCCAATAAAGATGGGTCACTGTAGGGGCTTCTTCCCAAGGTTGACCCTGGGCTGGAAGCATGCCTGAGGAGAATTACCTGTGCCCACTCTGCTTCCACTAGTGCACAACTTCACAAACTTGACATTTTCCTGCCTCAGGGAATGTGTGTTTACACACAAAATACAAAGTCAAATTCACTGACTCTTGGATAGACCCTAATCTCATAGAGGAGCTTAAACATTCTTTTGTGACACCCCAGGTGGAAACCAAGATCCCAACTCCCAGTTCATAATTCTTTGCACTAAAAAACAATTAGCTGGATAATTCAGACCAAAACATATTTTGGTGAGACTTTAGTTCAACTATTCAGATAATTGTCTCAATTCACTTTTATTACAATGGTAGGCAGATTTCCCAAACTGGTAAGAACTTTTTCCCTCCCCCCTTCCCCCATAATTGTCCTTTTCTAGAAGAGGCCATGTCTGCCCCTTATCTGAGAGAGCTGCATGTGGGGTGTCTTAGACCTTCCAGCCTCAGTGCATTAGGCAGTGCTCGTGCTCCCACAGTGGAATTGAGCACCACTTCTCAGAGCACCGCCTACCCTTCCAAGGGCAGCAGGAAGAAGTCTATACTGAAAGGACGGGTCTGCTAGAGGACTGGGTAAGACTCAGCAGCCCCTGCTGTCTGGTGACACGCACTAAGAAGTAGGCACTCCCTGACTCCCATGGCTCCTATTTTCCCACACCAGACTCAAAACAAAAATGCCCCCTTTTCCCACATTGGAAAGAGACTAAAACTTCTTATGATAATTTGACTTCCATTTTTATCTTTTAAAAATGCCAACTCAAAGCACCCACATGACTGACAACTTTCTTAGATTTTAAGGAACTTTGTTGGCATCAAACATACAAAGATATTGCTTCTCTGTTTTATTATTTTTTAATTATTTAGATCATAATAGGTGAGCTTTGCCTTGGTTCTAGAAATTGGACCCCAAAGAGTCCTTCAGTAAATATTTCCTGATTTCAAACACCACAGTATTTCTCTCTTAAGTAACAGACTTTATAGTTATCTAATGAAGCCATTAAACTTTTATGTTTTAACAACATAATTTGTTAATTCTTAATGTTGTCAGCAAATGGGCCTAATAACTGTCTTCTAAAATCATGATCGAAAACATAAAAATGTAACTTTCCCTGGATTCGAGGTCCTCTTTCAAATTAATAAAGATTCTGATGTAAAAAAAAAAAATGCTGGTTGTTGTGCAACCATTTCTGCACTGTATCTGTTTGGCATTATTAAGATGGATGCGTGATTAGAAGCAAATGTTGTTCCTGTCATTTGCCAACTTATACACAGAGTGGAAGAGAGAACTGCATTAACTTTCATTGTTGGTGAGCTACAGCCAAATATAAACATTAATATAATACAACATTTCCCTTGCCACTGCTGGACCCTCTTTGCTGCTCTTTCCAGGAAAAGTTTAACTTAGAAATTTGCCATAACTGAGCTTTTTTATCACATCTGTTTGAAGCCCAAAATAATATACATATTCAACATCCCTGACATGTATTTGTTTTTTCTGATCACCAATTTCTAACCATTAAGGGAAAAGGCAGAAATGCTTTGCCACCTTTGGCCAGCTATTCTCACTGTAGTTAAAGGTCTGGTAACACTCAAAATCACAGAAGTGGTCCATTCAAGAAAGAACTCCAAGTAAAAACCCCAACATACTGGAGTCTAAGTTCTGGCTCTCTTCCTGGGTGACTCAGGAAGCAGGTCACCCCTCTATGCCACATTGCAACTAGGGGCTTGAGATAGAACATGGTCACACATCTCTGTTCACAGAGCACAGCCATGGAACTCATGCAAATGGATGCTTTTTCTTTCCCCTAAACTCAATCAACTTGGAATCAAATGTGTATTTCAGGGACAGGTTTCATCATTCAACATAAATAAAATATTCATGGACACCACAAAACATATTTGAAACCATTAGGGTGCAATGGACATATGCAACTTGTCATTCTAAAGGATCATAACATGTACTTTCAAATAACATTTTCCCCCAGTATGCTCTTGACAACTTACATTTTGTACAAAATCCTAGCTTACAGAATTAGGTGTAAAATACATGCTTATTTCATTGACAGGAAATTGAGGCTGAGAGAGGTTGGATTGTTTTCAATCGGGCTTCATCATAAGCCAGGCATCCAGGACACTTCCCTAACTCCAATGATGGCTCCCAGGCCAGTGCTCAAACCCTGGGATAAGAGGCCCAGATTACACCTTCATCTGTTTATTTATGAACAAAGTCCAATGATACCAAGGCAATTCTCAGGGTAGTAGAGTCAATATAACCTAAAAATGTAATTAGCACCAAGGGACTCAAGCCAAGGAAATGAATGTGTGCATGTGTGTGTCTACAAATGTAACATGAAAATACTAACATTAAATACTAAAATAAAATAAATGTGGGGTCACTAAAGGAGGACATATCTGGAAACTAGAGAATAGCCCTACAAACACCACCCCAAATAGTGAAATTTCTATTTAATAAAGTGCATTCCAGATACAGTCTCAGGCCTAAGGAAAGTGTAAATGGTAAGGGTTACATGACCCTGCAGGTAGAGCCACCTTCCTTTGGGAGAGCTTATATTTTTCTGGAGGAGTCAACATTTGTATCTGCCATCCCTTCCCCTTGTCCCAGCACCCCGACTTCTTGAGAAAGAGCCACCTCTCCCTGTGTATGTCATTCTGCAAGTTGACTTCCCTAGCCCCAGGCTGGCCAGGCAGGCCTTCTCTTCCCCAAGACTCTGAACCTTGGACAGACAGATTCTAGGACCAAGCATGAGTTGAGTTGACTTTTTCCTGGTGCCCAATAAAATGGTCCATCAGATTCTGCTATGGGACACCTGGAGCTGCCCTGGTTCCTCTCCTTTTCAGGGAAATCCTTCCAATCAGGTCCTGCTTTGCTCACATCTATCTTAGGTTCTGTCACTGGTCACCTCCTCACTGTTGTGCTGGGTCACCCCCGGCACGGTGTGTCAGTCAAGATGATGTTCATGCTCTTGCTCCCTTTCCTTTGTGAACTCTTTCCCTCTTACTGGTCCTCCCTGGACACGCAGACCCCCAGTGCGAGGATGCGGGGTCACAGAAGGTAGAAGTATGAAGTGGGGGCCAGGCAGGCAGTCAGTGCAGCACAGTAGCTCTCTCCCCTCCTGGGGGCACAAACAAGTAAAGGGGACCTCACACTATGAATAGCTACTCAGTAAAACAAAGGCATGGCCACTGAGCTCAGTGACACAGGGACACCCCAAAACATTGGGCTGAGTAAAAGGAACCAGTCATGAAAGGTTACTTCCATACAATTCCATGTGCATGACCCTCTGAAAAAGGCAAAAGGGGCAGAAATCAGGGCAGTGGCTGCCAGGGGTTGGGATGGGGGGCTCCAAGAGGCACAAGGGAATTTTGAGGGTGATGGAAATAATCTACATCTTGATTATGAAAGTGGTTTCATGATTGAAAACATTGGTCAAAACTCAGTCCTGTGCACCTAAAAAGCACATGTTGCTGTATGTAGATTATATTTCAATAACCCTAACCTAACAAATAAACTCATTTGTATAGAGAATGAATGGTAAGACTTACTGTATTGACCAAACCTGGGATATTTCCCAATAACAGCTTACGTTAAAGGAAATAACGCTTTATTTATGGAATTTTAACTAATGTACTAGTTAGAGGAGTGTTTTCAGAGGAAAGGTAAACTTCCCAGGGCCTCCTAAGGCATACATGACATCCAGCTGCCCCTTCTCACTCTGGGCAATGCAGCCTATGGTGCTGGTGCTCATTCCATTTCTACGTGGGAACTGTCTCAAGGATCACCGTCAAAAAGGGGCACCATGCAAGGCTTACCCTACAGGTGTGCCTCTCACATCCAGACACATGGCTTTCTTCATATTGCTGGCTAGCTGAGAAAGGATGGAGGAACTAGGAGCAGCAGCCCAAGGGGAAGAGAAAACAGCATGACTACAGTCCCAGTGGCCACCTGAAGCCTGGATTAGTTCACAGAGCAACCTCTAAGACCTGGGTCAGTGCCCAGCACTCCTGAAAGGAAAAGTCACTGGAAGAGCAACCCAAGATGGAATTACTAGGATTACATCACCCAAACCTATCAAACACACTCACCTAACAACCAAATTTCAGAAAGCAACCCCAAAATGGAAGGGATTACACAAGCACAATTCATTCCCTTAACTCCCTGACCCCTACCTGCACCCCAATTCTGTAATCACAAGTGTCAGGATGCTGGAGAAATGTTGATCAAACTGGATACTCTTGACCCCTCACAGCGGTTACACATGCCAGCAATCTGAAACAAGATAATTATTAGTTCTCATGTTTATTAGCTGAACCCATTTGAGAATGCCCTCTGGGGACATTTATAAATGCAATAAAAGACCTCATCATTGTTCAGTGAAAAATGATGTGGGTCATTTGGATTTTGGCTGAAGCAGGCGTCTGTCTAAACTCCGAGGGGGCAAGACTGTGGCTGAAACCTTCTCCACTCGTGCCCACAACTCCAGTATCTGCTGCATAAATGCTTGTTGGACTCACTTAGGGGCTTGAAGTCAGTAAGAGTTGTCAGCCAGTTTGGAACCAGTAAAGATAAATCAGCCCATATTTTCCAATATGTAACCCCAGAAAATCATAACTAAAAAGAGCTGTCCGGTGACCCAAGTAACCTCTTCAAGCTGTGCCCATGAGCCGAGGCCAAGTGCTTGTGATAGAGATTCAGCTGAGAAACAAAGCTTGCCCAATAGGGCTTTCTTTTTGTTCTTTTTAAAAATATATATTTTATTGATTTCAGAGAGGAAGGGAGAGAGAAAGAGAGATGGAAGTATCAATGATGAGAGAGAATCATTGATTGGCTGCCTCCTGTACACCCCACCCAGTAGGGTGTTCTTAATGAGTCATAGGAAATTAGGACTAGCATATCTTTTACTCACAGTTGATTGAACAGAATCAAGGTCCAGCCCACAGCTGGAGCCACTAACTGGTTGCTTACACAGAGTAATAATTCGTGAAGACAGCCAAATTCTCTCCTGGATAAGATCTCCCTCCCACACTTCTCTGACTGCCCATCAACCCACTCCCCTCCCCTGGCTCACTCTGTCGTCTGAAATATCACTATTTGATTCATTCTCAGTTAAATAATAAAAATGGGACATAAATTCTACCAAAATGAAAAAGTGGTGGGGAGACAGAGGTAATAATTGTTCCATTGCAAACACAACTTCCCACACTTTTGCGCATTGTAATGACAGGGCCCATGCGAACCCACTTGTTGGCCTTGGAGCACATAAAGTTACACAAAACCCATCTTTCCATAGATAAACACACACAGAAAAATTCCTGGTGCCAATCTTAAGCTTTTATCTTCTATACTTCACTGGAGGAGGTATTAGGTATGAATGAAACAGTTCTGGTAACCAGCAATGAATTCAATTCATGCAGTGAATATGGTGTTCAGTTCTGCTGACCATGGGCCATGATCAGCTTTCCCTCTGGATGGCCACTTTTCCTTTGTCTCCAGATATGAAATAATATCACATTGTGTACTTGTGAATTTAAATTTATTTTTAAATT